CGAAGTGGTGCGCAGCATCGAAAGTCGTGACGCGGCGCGTATGCCACCTATCCAATGGCCGTCGGCCCATCCCGCGACCGTGCTTGGGTTTTGGGTCGGAGTCCTACAAGCGTCTGTCGGACAGCTCTCGGGAGCCTCTGCGGGGCATTTTAGGAGCCTCTGGGGAGCCTCCTGGAAGCTTCTTGGGAACTGCTTCGGGCCCTCTTGGGGGCCTTTGAGGTTTTTGGGGACATCTTGAAGGCGCGTGAGGGCCTCTAGAGGCCATCTTCGGCGTCTTGGAGTGATCCCGCCACCTTACCTGGGTTGTGGCTCAGAGTCCTCATGGACGCTTGCAGGAGTCTCTTCGGACAGCTCTCGGGGGCTTCTGCGGGGCAGTTTAGGGGCCTCTTGGGGGCGTCCCAGGGGCTTCTTGGAGACCTCTTGGGGCCCTCTTGGGGCCTCTTGGGGCTCTCTTGGGGTTTGTTGGGGGCCTCCAGGGGGCCTCTTAGGGCCTCCTGGGGGCCTCTTGAGCCGAAAGCTCGAAATGTTCATTCGGGTTCCCCTCTGGGCCTCCTCTTGGGGCCATCCTGGGGCCCCTCTTGGGCCGTCCCCGGGGCCTCTTGGGCGATCTTGGGGGCCTCTTGGGCCGTCGTGGAGCGTGGGTAAGCCGAAATGGCGTGAACGTGAAAATCTTTCAAAAACCATTTGAAAATCAAGGATTTTTGCTTCTTGGGGCTGTCTTGGGGGTGCTCTTGGAGCCCTCTTGGGCCGTCTTGGAGGCGTCTTGGGCCGTCTGGAGGCCATCTTGGGCGTCTTGGAGCGATCTGGAACCGTCTGGAGGCTCTCTTGGATTGCTCGGGACTCTCTTGGACCGGCTTGGGGCGCCCTTGATCGCCCCCGGGCCGTTTGAGACCTTGAGGGGGGGGGGGGGGACCGGCGGCAGAGTGGGGCCCCCTCGGAGGGACTTTCAGGAGGTTTTTGACCAGGCACTGGAGAAGGGGGCCAAAGACTGCGCCAGACACTCTGTCAGAGAGGTCTCGCACGGCCCAACCCGCAGGGCGGGAGCGGCCGGATCGAGAACGCCGGCGGCGCATCACCGGCCGCTCCCTGGGAGTTTGCCGAAGATCGCGCAGCATCGAAAGTCGTGACGTGGCGCGGCCCATCCCGCCACCGTGCTTGGGTTTTGGGTCGGAGTCCTCGTGGACGCTTCTTGGGGTCTCTCGAGAGGGCTCTCGGGGCCTCTGCGGGGGAGTTTAGGGCCTCTTGAGGGCCTCCTGGGGGCTTCTTGTGAGCCTCTTGGAGGCCTCTTGGGGCCTTTGGGGGTTCTCTTGGAGCCTCTTGGGGGCCTCCTGGGGGCCTCTAAGAGCCCCCTGGGGGCCTCTTGGGACCGAAAGCTCAAAATGTTCATTCGGGTTCCCCTTCTGTGCGCCCTCTTGGGGCCGTCCTGGGGCCTCTCTTAGGCCGTTCTGGGTGCCTCTTGGGCCGTCTTGGGGCCCTCTTGCGCCGTCTTGGAGCCCTCTCGGGGGCTTGTTGGGCCGTCCTGGGGCGATCTTGGGGGCCCCTTGGGCCGTCTTGGAGCGTGGGTAAGCCGAAATGGCGAGAACGCGAAAATCCTTCAAAAACCATTGACAAATCAATGATTTTTGCATGTTGGGGCTCTCTTGGGGGTGCTCTTGGAGGCCTCTTGGGCCGTCTTGGAGGCGTCTTGGGCCGTCTGGAGGCCATCTTGGGCGTCTTGGAGCGATCTGAAGCCGTCTGGAGGCTCTCTTGGACTGCTCGGGACTCTCTAGGACCGGCTTGGGGCGCCCTTGGCTCGTCCCCGGGCCGTTTGAGACCTTGAAGGGGGGGGGGGCCCGGCGGGGGGCCGGCGGCAGAGTGGGGCCCCCTCGGAGGGACTTTCAGGAGGTTTTTGACCAGGCACTGGAGAAGGGGGCCAAAGACTGCGCCAAACACTCTTTCAGAGAGGTCTCGCACGGCCCACACCGCAGGGCGGGAGCGGCCGGATCGAGGACGCCGGCGGCGCATCACCGGCCGCTCCCTGGGAGTTTTTCGAGGAGGTGCGCAGCATCGAAAGTCGTGACGCGGCGCGTATGCCAGCTATCAAATAGCCGTCGCCCCATCCCGCCACCGTGCTTGGGGTTTGGGTCGGACGGAGTCCTCATGGACCTCCTGGGGGCTTCTTGGGGGCCTCTTGGAGCTCTCTTGGGGCCTCTTGGGAGCTTCCTGGGAGCCCCTGAGGCCCTCCTGAAGGCTTTTTGGGAGTTGAAAGTCGGAGTGTCCGTTGAGGTTCCCCCTCTGGGCCCTCTGTTGGAACCGTCCTGGGGCCCTCGTGGGCCGTCCCGGGGGCCTCTTGGGCTGTCTTGGTGCCCTCTTGGGCCGTCCTGGACCTCTCTTGGGGGGCTTTTCGGCCGTCTTAGGGTGGTCTTGGGGGCCTCGTGCGCCGTCTTGGAGCGTCTGGAAGCCCAAATTGCTGGAAGCCGAAAAACTATAAAAAACCATCGAAAAATGAATGACATTTACATCTTGTGGCCCTGTCGGGGGTGCTGTCGGAGCCCTCTTGCAGCGTCTTGGAGGCGTCTTGGGCCGTCTGGAGACCATATTTAGCGTCTGGGAGCGATCTGGAGCCGTCTGGAGGCTCGCTTGGGCCGTCTTGGGGCTCTCTTGGCCCGTTTTAGGGCGCTCTTGAATCGCCCCCGGGCGCCGGAACTGTTCAGGGAGGGGGGGTCCGCCGGCAGAGTGGGGCCCCCTCGGAGGGACTTTCAGGAGGGCTTTGACCAGCCACTGGCGAAGGAAGGGGAAAGATAGTGCCGAACACTTTGTCAGAGAGGTCTCGCACGGCCCACACCGCAGGGCGGGAGCGGCCGGATCTAAAGGCTGCCGCCTCTGCCGCCGACCCCAGAGAGGTCGACTGAGTTTAGTTTTGTTGGGTCGGCCCTGGGCGTGTCAGCTGTCCCGCGGTCGCCATTTAATGTGCGGGGGGCCGGCACATCACGCGCAAAGTGCATAACGTGTAGTTTGTGAGCACCTGACGTGTCGAGCGTCTCGGGCGCCTCGTTTTTTTTTTTTAGGGGGCGGGGGGGGGGGGCGCGAGGTGGTCTGTTGAGGGTCTCGTGGGGTTCGGCATGGGCTGTCAGGGGCTTTGGGGGAGTTGTGGCGCGGCAATATGTGGGCTTTTGTGGGGCGTGCTTGTGGTTTTCGTTGTGTCCTCGGATGGCGGGAACCCGCGCGTCCAGCGCAAGGCCCCTCCCCCTCGCGGCGGGGCCCCTTCACCGCGCGCCCCCCGAGAGCCGGAGGGGCCGCGGCGGGGGCGGGGGTCTCCAGCCCACCCGCCGTTCGGGGGCTCAGCAGCCACGCCCCCGCCGTTCGGCGGCGGGCAGGATGCGGGAAGCACGGGCCTGGGGCCGGCCTGAGCAAGCCGCCGTGCAGGGCCCCACCCCGCGGCATTGACCAGCCGAGGGCGGGGCGGGCGCCCGCGGGGGCTTGGGGCGCCAGGGGGGGGGGTCTGGCGCCGGGGAGCCGGGGGCGAGGTGGAGCTGAGAGGTAGGATCCGCGGCCCTCTTGCCGCCCGCCTTGCCAGACAAAGCCAGGGCGGTGGACCGATGGGGGGAAGTTATTCGCAACGAAGGAGAACCCTTACTGCCCAACGCACTAGCCCGCAGCATAGAGCTCCCGCGGGGCGCGGCAGGGGAGGGGGGGGAGGAGCCCGTCTCGCCCCCCTCCTGCAAGCGGGAGGGTGCGCCGCGAGATTAGGCTTTGTGCCTGCCACGCGCTGACGGAAGCATTCCAGGACCCATCTTCGACGGGGCAGACGGTGCCGCGGCGCCCGCCCCGACGCCGGGAGGGCGCGCCGACTCGGCGAGAGCGGGCCGTTGTTGGAAACCCTTCTGGCCTGTGCGGGGGAGTGGGAAATCCCGGTCGCAGGAGGGCAGGGGCCGTCCTTTGGGCGCGTTGGAGAAGACGCGGGGTCGCCCGGGCAGCCGGCGGGTTGGCGGCCAGGGGATGCGCCACGACGAACGGGACGATCGCCACGCGCACCTCGTCCACGAGGGCGTCCGCCGCGGCGCGTGCCAATTCGTCGGCCTCGCGCGCGGCGAGGAGGATCGCGTCGTCGAGCAGGGCGTCGTCGCCCTTTGCATCCTCCTGAGCCTTCCTGCCACGCATCCCGTGCCTCGCGGGCTGGGCCTCTGCGGCCGGCGGGGCCATCGCGGCAGGCCCAGCGCAGCCAGCCACGGCCGCACCGCGAGCCGCCCGCACCGCTGCGGCCGCGCGCCGCCCCAGCAAGCCGCGCGCCCATCGCTGCAGCGTGCCAGCTGCGGCTGCTCGACGCTCGGCCTCGCGCCGCTCGGCCCACACAGCTGCGCTGCGTCCCAGCGCTCGCCTCGCCGACCTTTCACCTTGCCCGTCACCAGCTTACACTCCTTCTCCTCCGCGCCCTTCTGCTTGAGCGGCGCACTAGAGCGGCCTACCTCAGGCGCCGCCACGGTGGGCACGGCCTCGGCCACTCGCACCGCCTCGACCTCTTCCGCAGGCGGCCCACGACGCACCAGCTCGAGCAGCTGCTGCCCCCGACGCGCGCCTTCTGCCGCGGACAACCCTAGGACTGGCACCGACGTCTCCAGGGTCTGCACGGCTCACTGGTGCAGGATGATGCCCAGCACGGGAGGGGGCGCCCAGGTGGCCGCACCGCAGCAGCCGCACCAGCGCCCACCACACGGCAACTCCGAGCCACCTCCCATCACCGCGTGCATCAGCACCGAACGCGGGGGCCTCCGCCGCC